AGAAGAAAGTATCTAAAAATCAGGACATTTTTTAAATCACTTTTTTAAATCACTAAGTATTACTAATAACTGTTATGGATCATATTATAAATGGGGAAAGATTGATTTGCTGATCAGAAGCGCTTTATCACTGTTTGACACGTGTTGGAAGATACACTACATTTATAAATCCTATTAGGGAACTAGCATCACTCGCTTGCTTGCCAGATCAAATCTCTGTTGCAGCCATTCACCTTCCGACAAATAGGCATTTAACTCTAAAATTGTTATTTTCTTGAACTGGATTTGCCCTCTAGGCCCTAGTGCTGAGCAAGATTATAAATGAAGCAAAAAAATCAGGCCAAATTCCATCAAATGTGATCGACCTCTATTCTATAAAATGCTTTTAACTGATACCCTTGCAACCAGACAGCGGTTCCACACCCCAGCGCCAGATGAATTCTAACCAGTTGCTAGAATTTCTTGCATTTTGACTTAAGTAATAAGCTTAGCAGAATGTAACAACACACTTATTGAACAATGGAACTCTCCATTCTAAAATGTAAGTTGGGGTCCCAACCTCCTGCACTACCTCGGTCCCAGAACCATTTCAGATTTTTCCTACAGCACTGCTGCCAAAGAGAATAATGAATTCAATTAAACTCTATGAGTCCTAGTGAGCTGTAATGTATTCCATACAGGGCAAACTACTGCTAAGAAGAGGGTGTGTGACAAGAGACCCCACTCTGAACTATACAGACCTACAGTAGAAGTTAAAGTTTATTTTAGACCGGACACCCCCTTTAAAGAGATCACCTCTAATCTCTGTAAAATGTCACAAAAAAGAAGGGAGAAGATACTCTATTATGCTGTAACACTATCCCAAGTCCCTATTCACACATAAACCTGTTAAAATGCATAAAGTGCTCAAAAAATGTATGATTATTATTATTATACGGGATTTATATAGTGCCAACAGTTTGCTCGGAGCGTTACAATATAACGGAAGACAATACAGCAACAATACAGTTCAATACAAGAGGGTTAAGAGGGCCATGCTCCTTGGAGCTTGCCTTCCAATAGTGTGCACTTTTATGTGCATTGACTAGCATTTTAATTTTTATGTTCTTAAAGAACATTGTTATGGGCCCTTGTAAGGGACAAAATAAGAAAACTTTTTTTTTTTGTTCTAAATACATTTGTATTATGTTGATGTGCATATGAATGCATTGACGTACATGGTGTTGTACTGAAATCAATATATATAGCATTTTAACTCCAGCTTTGTGGTGTGAACAGGACTAATAGAAAACAATTGTTTTTTACGTATCCTTGCAGTGACCTGCGTTCTTCCAGTTCAGTAAAACACAGGTCACTGCAGTATGTGTGAGCAGGGCCTAAATGTAGCAGCTGGGGCTGAAAGTAGACTGTCTACACGGCAAGGGTGTAGTTTAGGCTTGCCAAACACTATACAATTTTCTGTCCAATTTCTGCCCAATTTCCTTTAGATTTACCTTCAACTATGTAGTGCGAGAGGCTGCCTAATTGGATACAATTGAAAGTGTTGTTAGGTTTGACCTCCTATTATATGGTTTTTTATAAATCTAAACCAAAATTCTCAAGAAAATTGTATAATGTATGGCCAGCCTTACTCTTGGTACCACAATAGTTAATAAACAAACAAATGAGCTTAAACTACTACAGAATTAGAATGTAGAACCATCATTGGTTTGTTTTAAACGTTTAGGCATGTAAGAGCTGGTAATTTGTCTTTAAAACAATCAGGCACTGAAGGGTTGAACATGATACTGATCAAGAGCATGTGCAGGTGGCAGAAATCGTGGAAGATAACTGTGACTGTTTCAGGATTGTTCCCTTATACCCAGAGGAAAATAAACTATGTTTTCAACGCACGTGCACCGCAGGCAAAGATCACCCACTGCTGCAGTCATGATGATGACAGGCAGATCTCCCACAGCTCCCCATGAGCTGAAAATGCCATCCCGAAGATGCATCTATTGCCCATACTTACATGTGCTAATCTATATGCAGTCATTTTCAGAACCATGCACATCAATCTCACTTACAGGAGCTTACCAATGTTCCTACTGCACACAGTTCACATTTAAAAAAAAAAATTAAATCTAATCCAGTTCACATTTACAAATCAGTTAATCTACCGGTAAATTCTTTGGTTAAGGAAGCCAAATAAACGTTGATTCAGGACCCAGTTTAAATTTGTATCTTAATTTAACAACAAAATAAACTGAGCTTGTATTCACACTTGGCCATGGTTGCCTTGTACCATGCCCGAGTACGATTGTCCCCTCTCCCCCACTGTTTTGCTCTCACATTCTGGGGGGGGCTGAAGCATGCTTATGTCATCACCTCTGCTAGCCAGATTACAATCACCCCTGCTTCCGTGCTCCATGAGTGCTCATTGATCCATAAGAGTTCTGTGCCCGGGCACACATATGAGAACCGTACTGGAGCCCAACTGAACCACACCTGGAGTAGTTCTACATATGAGAGGTGTGGCTGTTACTCAGCTCTGCCAGCACAGTCCACTGCAGTGTGAAGGATAGAAAACATTTTCTTAAAGCTGAATTCAAAATATGGATATTTTTGCATGGTTGCATTTGGAATAGCTTAGACCAATGTAAGTATGCATATTCCAAACCTGGCCAATATCTGTAGAAGCGGAGATTCACTGTAGTATCCATTGCTACTACAATGAACCTCGCTATCTTATGAATCCCGCACTGAGCGGCTGCCCTGCTGCACAGTAACCACAAAGGGTTGCTCACTATTCAGTGAATGCCTTGTATTTTTCTGAATTAATGCTAAGCATTCTCTGATTGGATGAGGTAGGGCAGCGACAGCACAATCTCCATCACATCCAATTACAGCATGTCTTGTATTAATTGAGAAAAATACAAGATGTTCTCTGAATGGAGCCTGTGGTGAGCAAGCAACTTCCTGTGGTTACTATGCATCAAGGCAACTGCTTGGCACAGGATCCTGAAAACAGCAAGGATCACTGTAGTAGCTGTGGCTATTACAGCGATTCTCCACTTCTACAGGGATCAGCCAGGTACGGCACTGAACCAATGTAACTATAAAAATATTTATACCTGGAATTCAGCACAAAACAGTCACAAATCATAACATTTAGGGGTACCGGACTCATGATATTTAGGAGCGCCGGACTCATGACATTTAGGGCACTAGACTAAAAACAGATGAAAAGGTGAGAGACATTTTTCAGATCCAACATATTAACACTGTAAATAATTGAAAATGTCAATCTTACTGTCATAGTGAAAATCTCAGGCACAGTCAGCACGCACAACTCTCTAGTCAATACATTTCTCCAAATCTGCAAATCAATACTATATCAGAACCATTAGCCGCAGGCAGGCCTCAACGTACAGTTACAACGCCAGCAGAGAATAAAACATTACAATTATGTTTGGAGTTGTGTTCTATATATTCAAACTGCAGTTACAAGAACAATGCAGCTTACTGTAATGAATAAGCAGCAGGAACTGAACACGTCACAGAAAAAGTGAATGCAGAACATACAGCTTTATAGCTCTGGCTCATGCATCTTCCTTTTTTTTTTATTTATCTGCGAAGAATTCTCTGCAGGGTGCTGTATAAAAATGCACAAAAGGCTATTTTCATACGGAGTGCACACAAAAGAAGAAAAACATTTTTTTTTTCTTACAATTATAACTTTGGTGAGCATGAGAAATGTTCAGTGTATTGCTTTTTCCTTCAGTGGAGTTCTCTGGGCAACTTAAAATGGCCTGTGATTCACCAAGTCTCTATAGGCAGGTCACAGCTTATGTGCACAGAGAGTACTGAATAGATGTTGTCAGAGTAAGCTCTCGGGTGGGTTTTGTTAGGGGCATAAAAAGCAACAAAGGAAATAAGAAAAGAGGAACTTTCAAGCACATTAGCTACAGTGAAGAAGGCTTCGTCCCTGCCCCCTTTCCCAAGGGCTTTCAAAAGCACATTAAGATGTTCCCTACGAGGAAATGTTTTTGGTGCCAAAGGGAGACTGAAAGGAGGCCGAGGCCGAGTTCGGTGGTGCTGAAAGGCTCACCGCGCCAGGCTGCGTCATGGACAGCGAGCCCTGCACACAGAAGACTTCGAGAGACAGGAAGGGACAGTGTTACTCTCCAAGCGCAGGTCAACTATTCTGCATCCTATCTGCACAATAACAAAGATGCCATTCTTCCTCGGCACAGAGGGAGACGCTTTCTTACCCAAAACACACAGCCCCCCATCCATTATTCCCCTGGCCCCGCTCTTCAACAACAACTCCCACCGTATTATTGGCGTCTGGTGTAAATACATATTCAGTGGCAGTTGCTAATTTTAATGCTTTTATACAAGCATCCATAGCGAAAATATTAATTGTTTTTGGTATAAATATGAATCAGTTATGGTGATTCACATTATACAGACAAGCGGGAGCTTTTATTCAATTCTGACAGATGTCAAATATTCCACTTGTGTATGAAGTAAAATCATTGCATTCATTTCTACAATTAAAATGTATGTAGTGTAGTTCTGAATAGAATAGCACAGGGTTAGAACCCCTGTCTGGGTTTTTGAGGTCTATGATTTCATCCTCTTTGGCCCCATTCACACTTGCGAATGGGGCCGCTAGCGATTACATGCAGGAGAGTCAGTGGGGGTTCCCGGTGATTAGCTGTGGGCGGAAGCCCCAGTGAAAGCAATTGGGGGGGTGGCTCACAGCCCCCACAGCTAATCACAGCAGCTGGAGCGATTACTTGCAAAGGACCAGCCTTGACCTACAGTTGTCACCAAAAGTGAAAGCTATAAAACTGAAAGGGGTTCCAGCTTTTTCCTCCTCTATCTAAAACTAAAAAAAAAAGGTATCTAAAGTTTTAAAGCTCAACTCCGGGATTAGCAAATATTGTAATAATCCAAAAGTCACGTGTATTCTTCCTTAAAACCTGATGTGATTTGTGAATATCTTCCAGATCTGAGCAGTAATCCAGTGTGACGCCATCATGATCAGGGGTCAGCCTCGAAGACCCTGTTGCTATAGCAGTGGAAAGGCTCACCTGAAACCAGCAGGATAGGTACACAGGCAGGTCCCCGTGGTGGAGAAATGGGCTCACCTGAGGTGCGGAGTCTAAGTACCAACCAGTGTTAACCAGAGCTCCTGATGGTGGAGATGGATTTTGCTGCATGTTAGCACCAGGTCCCAGTCCTCAGGATCACCCCACCAGGAGGTGAGCAAGCGGAGGTCCAGTAGCGTATTAAGCAGGTAAGGATCAAACGGAAGCGTGGTCAGTAAACAAGGTCAGTAAAACAAGCCAAGGTCAGGCAGAAGCGTAGTGAGAACAAGCCAAGGTCGGTAATGAGTAGTCGCAGGTTGGGATCAGGCAGAAGCGTAGTCGAGAACAAGCCAAGGTCGGTAATGAGTAGTCGCAGGTTGGGATCAGGCAGAAGCGTAGTCGAGAACAAGCCAAGGTCGGTAATGAGCAGTCGCAGGTTGGGATCAGGCAGAAGCGTAGTCGAGAATAAGCCAAGGTCGGTAATGAGTAGTCGCAGGTTGGGATCAGGCAGAAGCGTAGTCGAGAACAAGCCAAGGTCGGTAATGAGTAGTCGCAGGTTGGGATCAGGCAGAAGCGTAGTCGAGAACAAACCAAGGGTCAATAACGAGTGGTAGCAAAATATGGATAACACCAGAGAAGGCAAGGAGCAAGATACTGGCTGGAGAGCACAATAATCTGGCAAACAGGAAGTGTAGAGACATGGCTGATATCAGGAAGTTAATGGGAGGAGCAAGGGGTTCAAGGTTCATGACAAACAGGGTCAAGGCAGGATCTTCCAAATAATTGTCAAGGGATCTGTCCAGCATTCCAGGTAGCTCAGCAAGAAGAAACATTGCCACTCACCACAGAAGGCTCAGGTTCGGACACAGGCTCTGACAGACGCACTACCTCTCTTCCTGTAATAAAGACCGGTCACTGCTACTCTTTTTCCTTGTGCAGGGTGACAGGTCTTGCATCCACCCCCTCCTGTAACTTTCTGTAGGCAGTCTGTAGTGGGTGGAGCCTGCTGGGCCACTCCCTCAGCTCTGCTCTATGTAAAGCACTGTGATGATGTCACTGCTACTTTTACAAGGTAATAGCTAAGTCTGTAAAGGTACTTGGTGCACACAAAAGTGGTTTTATATCCTTTTTGACTACAGAGCAATGTATTCAAATAGAAGTTTTTTTCTTTTACTTGCTGGAAGTTTAGCTTTATTTTCTATTATAGTGACTGGAACATTAGAAAGGGTCTTTTTAACTGGAAGAGGTTAGGGCAACAACTTAATCCAACCAGAAATCTACTGACTACAGGGAGCACTCACAATACAGGGAAGAGCAGAGGAATGACCCCATTCTTGTGCTACTATGCCATCTTTATCCATTTATAGGCTGCAGTGGGTTCCAGACAAACCATATTGTTTAATTGCATTCTAGACTCCTAATGGGTCTAGGACTTAGCTGTACTATGTGGCAGGGCTGCTAGATCACAAGATTGAAAAAAAATGGGATCCTTTATTGTTCACACATACTTATTTTAACTGTATTATGTGGCTGTTTGCTGCTAGTCCTATCTAGAAAGCTTTGCAACTGTACAGAACTGGGTTTTTATAAATATTCCTGAGGTCACATTTATTTTGTTATTTAAGAAAATCCAACGTTGCAGGGATAGACAACAGAAATTTCTCACCAGGAACAATAATGAAGACCTGACAGAGGTCCTAACCCTTCCCCATGCCTTCTGCAGTTTTTGTTTAGTTTTAGGTTGAAGTGGGTAACTAGGATTCCATTAAACAATACTGGAGAAATAGAACACGATTATAAGCTACAAGTGGGTAGTAATAACAGCAAATGCAAACTTGCAAGCACATGAACAGCAGCATCTAGGATTTTCGGATATACTTCAACTCGGAAAAGCACTATTCACAAATCACCAATCAGGCTCCTGGGTGATACGACATGTTGACTTATAATAGGAAAATGTGAAAAAACAGAGAGCATAGCTCTGAGACTTCACTGGCTATATATCCATACTGCAACACAACCTAAATTGTAAATGGCAAGGAAGACAGAGAACACAGACCATCACCATCAACTGAAACAAAACAGCCCAAAATGCTATGCTGGAAGGTGCATATTCAACAGCAGATCACCCTGTAGCATTGGCCAGTAGTAATGATCACAATCTTTAAAAAGAAAAAAAAAAAAAAAAAAACACATCAGACATTTATTGCTCTTTGAATGTTATGAGTATCGATCTTTGCTTTAACCTCTTCCTGACCGCTCTATCGAATATATACTGCTACAGGGCGGCACGGGTGTGCAACATCATGTATATATACATGATTTTGAACTTCCAGGTAGGGTGCATGTGCAAGGCACGTGCACGCCCTACTCGTGCCGCCATTTGCGGTCCCGTTGTCAATCACCGGGTCCCAGCTGGTGATTACTCGCCAGCACCCGGTGATTGCCGAGCATCTCCGACAGGGAGGAGAACTGTTTGTAAACAAAACAGTCAGCTTGTGCACACTGCTTTGGATGGCTGTGCCCAGCACAGTCATGGAAAACAGTGTGCTTACAGTGAAGCACATGGACACAGACACAAGTAAACCAGCACACAGTTAACCCTTTGATCGCCCCTCATGTTAACCCCTTCCTGCCCAGTGTCATTAGTACAGCGCCAGTGCTTTTTTTCTACTGATCACTGTATTGGTGTCACTGGGGATGTCAGTGACACCCAGTCAGTACCCCCCCAGTGTCAGAATGGCCGCTGTAGTCCCACTATAGTCCCATATACTAGTCCCACAGTGGGTCACTGTAAGGCTACCACAACCCCCAAACCCAATGCACACACTTTTCTTCCTACTGCTCCCCCGATACTCTGTTCAACCAGGAATGCCCAGTACTTTCATGTATGGGGAGTATGTGATTCATTCCCCTTCCTCCCACAATTCAGAATTGGGTGCAAGAGCAGCCCATTACCCACACTATGTAGATCAGTTTGACTTTTACACTGGACTTCTCTTCACTTCTGCAGGCAAATAGAGAAGTGGAGTACCAGCCTTTAAAGTAGAAATTTAGGCTTTACCATACCCCTGCTTTTAAATGCTTCCTCTGCATTGCCATCGCACCCCCCAACCTTCATACATTTTATCATAAATCACAATTTAAATACCTTTTTAATGCCCTTCTATTTGGCCAAGCGACCACAAAGCTATGTCTTCTCTGTGTAATGTGTTGGCGAGAACTCTTTCTCCCTCTGACAACACCTGGAGCCATGGACACCAACAATTGGCACAAAGAGTCAGCACAAAAAGGGCCCTTAGGTAGTTCGATTGGCAGACCTTGACACACACACTGACCTTGCGTGGAGACAAGTTTTCTCCACCACGCACTAAGAAGGCTGCATGTTCCCCCCTAGCTGGGTGATCGCAGCTTTAAAGTTGTAAGTCCAATTAACCTTTTTATTGTGGAAGCACTGTATCTATGTTTCTGAATTAGTCTACCACACTACAAGGACTCTCCTGCCTCTTTCTTATCATTTTTGGTGGAAAGTGTTACCAGAAACCCCTGGCCAGCTCCTCAAGATCCTTCAGTCCACGAGAGACCACCACACCCAAGATAAACAGGTGTGGTCACTAACTCTATGGAATTCAGCCTCGTTGTTAGCCCTGTATATTGCACAGAGGAGCCAGTGCTTTGTGTTCATGGGACAGCATAAAAAAGAAAAAATAGGTCTTCGGGCAGGGACCAAAGCCAAGGTCTTTGCTGAAAAAAAACCCCTTGATGTTGGATCCGTCATTGGCGTGCGGCTGTCTTGTCTTTTCTTCAGAAGGAAAAATTGCAATTTATGCTGAAATATATTAAGGTCACAGGGAGGCCATGGGGGCAATGGAGAGACATGAATGTTGTGAAAAAAAGCCTTTATTATATCCTTCCAGTAGAAGATACAAATAATAAAAGAAATGTACAGAATGATGACAGGTTTGCTGACACATAAAAACCTTGCGTTGAGGTGGTGTGCTTACATAGCCTACATTGACCAAATATGTGGGAGCATATGGCGATAACAGCATTTGAATAGTTCTAAAGAACTACATGCAGTAACAAAGTCTGTTATGCCTGATTACTGACTGATCATTGGAAAAACACAAACAAGAAAATTGCAGATTGTCCCAGCAGGAGCCCTCATACAAGCTCCAGCTATTTTCTGCGTTCCTTTAGAAGGCAGTGAAGCGTTAAAAAAAAAATAGAAAATATATATGGTTTTAATGAGAACTAGCCGGCGATAACGACAATCTGCGTATGTGCTGTGTCAAAGTTATGTTTGTGTATTTAGTTCCCACAGGACTCTTAAAAGATACTCTTCTCTCCGCATACAGAATTTTTTTATTTCCATAAGCCGATTAAAATTAAATCACATGAGAAGGGTAAAAGTAGTTCCTTCCAAGTAATGCATAAACTTCATCGTTTTTTCACATAAAACTGAACTTCACAGATTCTGGATATAAACATAATACAACTCTATTATAGATTTACTTTTGTGGAACATTACATTTATCAAGCATTTCATGGGCACAAAAGAAAATTACAATACAAGCTTTTATTCCAATCCTACATGACTAACACAGATGAAAAACACGATTCTGAATCCCCTATACATACAGAGAACACGGCAACTCCCAATATAACCGGATTGCTAAATACTGTATTATAAGAGTACAACTTTTACACCCTAAAGATTCAGAGGATAATATAGTAACCTCATCAGTGGACATGATCATGATAGATTAAACGGCACACCACAATCCCAATATGACAGGACCAAAATACAATACTACTCCAATCTATATAGACATAGAAACACACTTACCACATCATGACAGGGTGAACCAATCGTAGTCAGTTCTATAATACTCTATGTGGATACAGAACATTATGCTCGGAATATGACCAAACTACTGAACATGGTCACAATGTTATTTAACCACTTGACCCCTGAAAGGTTTAGCCCTCTTCATGACCAGGCAATTTTTGCTATTCAGCACTGCGATACTTTAACTGGCAATTGCTCAGTTATGCAACACTGTACACAAATGAAATTTATATAATTTTTTCACACAAATAGAGCTTTCCATTGGTGGTATCATTACTGTGTTTTTTTATTTTTTATTATATAAACACAAAAAAAAAGTTATTTTCTGTTATAAAACAAATCCAAAAAATCTAATTTCTTTATAAATTTAGGTCAAAATGTATTCTGCTACATGTAATTGTTACAATAGAAATCGCAGTAAGTGTATATTAATTGGTTTGTGTGAACATTATAGCGTCTACAAACTATGGTATATATTCTGGACTTTACGCAGCTATGACGCTATACTAGTAATTTGGGCGATCAGCAACTTATAGTGGAACTGTGAAAGTGTGGTGGGCAATCTGGCGCTAACAGACCCTTGCTGGAAGGTACACTAAACTACATAACTAGTGACATTAATACAGTGATCACACTAATGACATTGGCTGGGAAGGGGTTAACATTAAGAGGCAATCAAACTGTTAACTATGTGCCTAAAAAGTGTAAAGTGTGTAATATGTGCTGCTTTTACTAACAGATATGGCTGTTTTTTCTCTCTGCCT